GTCGTAAAAGTTACACTTTGTCGGCTTTGCTGCATATTTTTTATATAACAAGTAGCGTCTAAAAGCCTGTTATAAAATTAATTTATTGTGTATAAATAGCATCAATGAATGAAAATTAAACAGAGACAGCGCATTTACAAGTTTCGACGTTTATATGAGTGTTGAGCAATGTCACTGATCCACGCCTAAGGCCATCAAAAGATTGTTTACCTAGGAGGGAATATACAGGCATTTTAGAAGGCATTTTTTTATGAAATGAATAAATTACTAGGGAAGTATTTAATATATTTTAACCTCTTTCAACTTGGTTTTGCTCCTGTCTATAGGAGCATATAAAAAATCTGGTCACGCAATCCAAATCGTAGTCGTTAGATCGCCATATTTAAAAAATGCCGACAGGTTGTAAAACAACCTATCTTCGTAATCAATGAGCCAGTTTTGACCCTTTGAAGTTCATCTTACCCCTTTTTGATATACAAACATATCGTATTGTTATACGTTCTTTGAATAATCCAGTAGTTATTTGGATATACAAAAAATTTACCGCTTTTATCAATTTGTGCAGTTATTCAAATGATACCACTTTAAATAGGAAAATAGCTTACATTTGGTATAGTAAAAACCAATTTCGTACAGTTAAAAATATTGCATTCACAAATACTACCACAGAATTGGAATAGGATTGCAGATTTCTCAAAGTCTAGGCAAGCCCCTAGGAGTCTGTTTTATAGACGTCTCTTGAAAGCTGAGTACCTTTAGAGTGTTGAACTGCCCTTGGAAATAATGTTACCATGGTAAAAATAACGTTTCCTTGGATGATCAAGGAAGGATTTGATATTGATATTTGCATTCCACCGTAGGCATGTTATCATAGGCTGTCACATGCTTATCGTTGCATTGTTTTCGAGGGTAGATCAACCCACAAACCGCACTCAGCCCTTAAAGGCCCCTTATAAATATGGTTCTTAAGGTTCCGTGTGCCTGTGCCCTGTTCAAATACAGGGTACTATCAAACACCAATAAGCATATATAAAAATACGTCAAGTGATCTAACTATTCGTCGTTTAGTTGTTTAGCAAATCTTCGTAACCAGTGGCTTGGTTTAAATTATTAGCTCACTTTTCCCCTTTTTTAACGGCAAATATATTTTGCGATCAGACGTTTTTGAATTAAATAATTATCCAGATATACTGGGCTCTTTAAATTTTATCACTCAAAGGCAGTTTCCACTAATATTAACACAAAATCGATTCAATTGAATTGTGATGTAAGACTATCCACTACTTCCAACGGAAAGGCAAACAACTTTGTACATGTATTTGGTGGTAGGTTGGGAATCAGCTTATTCTGAAGCCATTTTTTATAGTTACTATAGTTCACATCTCACTATGATAATCACCCGACTTACTTTTGGAGTTAAACTTCAGATATGCATTTTCCACAAAACCATATTCACTGCCAGCACGCGCAATAATAAATCTTTATCCTTTTGAAATTAGCCTGTGAAGGCCATTACTGGTATTATACTTCCAACTCTTTTCATGCGTATGTGATGTATGGATGTATGTTTCGTCCATATAAATTATAGGACGATTTTTTTCTCTATATTCTTTCATCCTTCTCAGAAAATTTCTCCTGAGATGCTGAATCTGTGGTTTCTCCATAAGTAGTCTTCTATTAGTTCTTGCCTTCCTCCAACGAAATCCCATTGTCTTCACCACTTTCATTAAAGTTTCATGTGATCCAGTGTAATTGTGTTCTTGAACAAATTTCCTGTGTATACGCAGCAAAGTTGGAACCTTCTTTTCCGTTAAAAAAATATGTCAAACCACCTTTTTCAACAGATTTGATTTCGCGAGAAATCGTCCTAATAGTCAATAGACACTATTCAAAAATTCGCACCTCTTCTCACACTTGACGAGCTGTACATTTTTTGTACAAGAACGTCAAGGAAAGGTTTCTACATAACAGTGGTGTATCTTAAGATTCAGACCCTGGGTCTCTTGATTTGCCGCCCAAAAAAGGAACAGAAAAAGCAGAAAATTCTGACAGCCTGCCCTCTCGGTCCAAGGCCCTATTTTCTGCGATTATATATTTATATATAGGTTCTTTGGCATTACTATCACACGTGCTATCAGTTTATAACTTTTATGAGGGTTGTAGACCAGCCCTTATTTACCTATCGGATACCAGCAATCACGCCCATATTATGCACATATCTCTTTACATTTACTGCCTCTTTTATGGCTACGAGATTTCTCGGGTATACGTGATAACTTTATGTGATCCTTTCGATGCAACTTCTGAGAAATTTCAAAGTGAGAGGGGTTATTGCATGTAGTCATTAAAACTGCATAGGTTGTTGTAACACCCACGTTGTGGTCATCAAATGTAATTGCCATCTGTACCAAGGTGCAACTAATCTGTGATGTAAACATCAAAACAACTTATTTTGAGATGCTTACATTCACTATTAAGGAACGTAGATCGGAATTCGTTGAGTATTAAATTTGTTTCGTATTGGTAGTTTCTGGTAAATAAAAACGCGACATATAATTGAGTCAGTAGTCAAGTTAGATTTTATTTCTGAAACGGGTTAATTAACTTGTTTGATTTTTTCATTCAACATTTTTTTTTTGATTGATTTGGATATGTATGACTTCTCATCGTTTGACTCTGCAAGCTACTTGGAACATACCTACCTATTTGTGAACATGTAGAACACGTATGTAGATACATATAAAACTATGATCTGGGGATAATCACTCACAATAGTTGAAAGAAAAAGAATTATTGGCTTAATATATGGTATGAAACCAATTTACTACTGTAGAGAAGGTTTCAGATCGAAGGATATCCTAAATGTTTATTAAAATTACATTTCAAAATGTTTAACTTATGTTGAAAGATACAGCAGTCTATTTCATTAACACTCACTACGAATATAACACTAGACATCAGAATTTATGAACATATTACTAGATATTTCAAAAAGTTTATACGTGGTATTAAGCCTCATCTCGTATAATAAATTACAAGTGAAAATACAAGAAGTTAGCGACTAATTATTGAATAAGGAAGTTAAAACTCATATTATTAACAAAATCGTGCCATAAGCATATAAAAGTTTTCAACCAATAAGAGCACACATGTCGATCAAAGTAAATGTAATGTACTTACAAAGATCTAGAAAATTTGGATAACATAATAATTATAACAAACTTTTGTTGGTTGAATCATGGGCGGATTCAGCAGATCTAGTGTTGTTGCATTTGCAAAGATTATAATAACATTCGCACTAACACAATGCAAAGGCGTTGCAGCTTATAATAACAAAAAATCGACTGAAAGGTGTTGGTGAACCTATGCTTTGGGCTTCAAGTTCTCGCTTAAGTAATTTGTAAACATTAGTGCTTTTGAAAGGCTCAAATAGAGAACCAGAAAAACATGTAATATTCTAATTTAAATAGTTGCTTACATCTAAGTATCTCCAAATTGAATTTTATTATAGCGATGTTCTTGCGATTGTAAGCATTTTTTATCGAGGCATTTCGATTTGTAATACCTGTAATAATGTTCTATAATAATGTATCAGTGAAAGTGGTCAACAGGGAATCTAACGAGAGGTATATGCGTTACTTCTCTGCAAGCAACCAAAACCAAAATATAAAATTCAAAACAATTCAATAACAGCCATTACCATGGAAATCATTTCAGAAAACACCAATGGAAACAGAATTTATTTTCACTCGGATAGATCGGAGATCGTAGAACAACGTCATAAAACTAAACCGGGATATTTGATGATATGCACGCCTACTTGGACCAAAGATAAAGCGTGTAATCTCATAAAATACCCAAAAACTTGATTTTTAGGGGACTTTTTTCCCATCGAAACGACGAAGCCTAACGATATTAGATAAGTTTCTTGTCTGCGCTATCGTTGAAGTCTCCAGGCTTTTATATAAAATATCCAAGTTACAGGCGATTAGACAAATCTTTATGCTTTTCTGTACAAGGGAAACGTTTTAGCTACATTGTAATTTATTGATAGGGCCAATTTGATGACTGTGAATGCAATAGAGGGTATTAGGATTGTAAGAAGGTACAGGGTGTCATCAAAATTGACACTTTACACGGCGTATGGATCTTGAAAAAATACGCAGTTTTTTCTATTAACATATACACCAAAGTCTTAAGACTACCAATATGTTATGCTTCGTAAAATAAACCCAACCTAGGTAAAACCTTTACACATCGGTTCTAAAAAAACAAAACAAAACTGGCACATCCATGCAGCAATTTCGGAGTTGTCTGTATTATTTTGATTTACGGTGAGTATCTACAAAATGCTACCGAGGCTTCCCGAGTGCTTGCAATGAAATATTTAGTGTATAAAAGTTAGGTGATCACGGTTGACGAACTACGTGGGCGGATTTAGCAATCTGATGGTGGGAAAGGCAGCCGATTCTAAAAGCCGCCTGCACTATGCCTTTGAATCTATCGCGAACAGCTTTGAACAATATGTACAAGCGAAAGAGCTGTACTCGAAATTTCTTTTCGATAAATGCATGAGTACTTCTTCGTTAATTTTTTTGTTGTAGCGTAGTATAAAGTTTTTCATGCAATGTCTTTTTGTGTACAGGTGTCTCAGAGAAGTATTACCAAATAGAGTATTTTTTTTAAATCGAACACATGCATATTTTCAATGAAAACAATAGTCGCCTCTTCTCTGATTCCAGCAGGGATATTACGGAAAAAAAACTACAACTGATTAGACGTTGAGTCAGTAGGATTTAGTTACAAAAATTATAGCCTTATGGAATTATGTTTCTATGCGTTTTTTGTCCGACAATACGTTTTAGCAGAGTGCATTCATTGTTATTTGAATTATGTGTGGTTGTGTCATTTTAGTTGGTTTTGATAAGAGCCAAAAACATGTCGTATCTGATTATAATGTAATAAATAGATATATAATGAATAATTTTGATCAGAGGTTTCTACTTACCAACTTCTCTAAAAGTAGCCAGCTGTTGCCAGCAAGTGATCAGTGAGCAGGATCCTGATACTCCGTGACACTTGCATGTGACCCTGGACTTTTTTATAACTGCCTGAAAAAAAAATACAGTATCATGTGATAGCATTTTCTTTTGATGGAACTTTTGTTGCACTGGTGCATATTTTGTGCAGAAATATTGCATCGGTAGTGTTTTATTTCGATAAAACTGGGAAAGTTAAATCTCTAAAGAAATAAAAAAAACATGTCATATCCTGGGTCGTGCCGTCGTCATATGTCAATCAAAAATTTTATTCAGTTTCGTTGTATTTTTGCGTACTGTTATGGTCAATTTTTTAAGAAGAAAAATCCATGAAAAAAACTGCATGTAGTGATATATTTGAACGCAAACCTACAAGTAAAAAAATTGAAATGTGACACTATTTCAAAATACTGGCTAAAAGAAAATATATATACACTGGTTTTGTCTAAAGAACACAAAGTATGGCACAACAAATGTTTCGGCAAAAAAAACTATATGTGCATATTTTAGTTGCACAGCTTTTATTTGAGACTTTGCATGTTTTCTATTATCATATTGGAAAATTTACCATAACAGCACAAGAAATGTCAAAAAATTCAAATATTTACCAATAAAGCTATAGGTCACACTTTTCGCGAAAAAACCTGTAAATTATCACATGGGTATTCAACCTTTGGGACGCTACGCAAGGTATTATACGATTTGGCGTGGTTACAAAGAGTAACGTAAGCTTGAAATTCTAAATTTTTAGAATCTCAAATCTATCTAGACAGCCTGGCATTAAGGCGATATGTTCTCTTATTGCATGTGACTTTTGACTTAAAAAAATGAGGTCCATTCAACTTAGCATAACTGTAGCATTTCCTAAACATTTAGCGGCAGCTTGGCAACACCACCTCGGTGTATACAGAGCCATCTATGAGCGAATCGACAAACCAATAGAACGCTGTTTCTATTAGTAAATCAGTGATAGTCCAAGAGCCGACCGAAGTTTTTGATGCATCGCATACTACTATTTATGTTAAAAATAAGTCAAATCTTTCGTGCTTTGATGCTAACCAGCAAACTTGTCGAGTTTGAACAGCAAACCTAGAAATAGGTAATTTTAATTGCGATGATGTAACAAAAAATTTGCGATCGGTTTCCTACAACACTACTCAAAAAAATTGAAGAAACAAGAAAAATATCCAAGATTTTCGGCGAAAACTTTCGTTTCTAGGCTCTAGAAACGCTTCAAGATTCTAGTTTTCAGGTTTCTTAGCTGAAACATTTTAGAAACAATGATTCTCATGCAATTTAAACAGATAGCGTACGAAAAATTTTTTGCAAAACGTTTGCCTCCTTAGTCCCAGGCCTGGACATTTTTTTCTGTTAGGCCATCATATGTCTCAGATAGCTCCAAAATTGCAATCAAATCTTATAGGAGATTTATTCCAGTTTCTAAAAATACCCGTACATACATATCAGTGTCGATAACAAAAGGATCTTTTTTCATTCAATGTCAGATATCTCCGCTCCAGATGATCGTATCGAGATTTTAAAAACAGGATGGTGAGACTGAATAAACGGGCTATCTGATCCATATGATGGTCTAATAGAAATTTGTTCAATCGTTTGGACTAAAAAGAAGAAGGCAAACATTGTTCAACACATTTTCTTGTACTATCTGTTACAAGTGCGTGAGAACCATTGTTCCTAAAAAATTTTGGCGAAAAACCTACAAACTAGAGTCTTAAAGCTTAAACATTCTTTTTGAAGGTCTAAATAGGATCATTTGTCACTAAAATACAGCCTGTCGAAAAATTTGGATTATTGTCTTGTTCCCTTTTTTTCGTGAGTATTGAGTATTATCAAAACATTCCACGAAGTGTATATACAGGGTGGCGCATCGAAAACGAAACAGACGCATTTACTGGCAGCTCAGTTTTTTTTTGGAAAAACGCTCAAACCCGTCGATTTTGTTTTCGAGGGGGACACAAGTTTAGCAGAAAATTACGTTAGCACGTGCAGCCCCCTAAGCGGGGGTGACACCACCCCCAAAATCTTAAATAAAAAGGGGGGTCGAGTAATACCTTATTTTAAAGGTCTTCCAATTCCCTTTATAATGATATAAAATTAATGTACTTCACTTCAGTAGTTTTGAAGACTTATTGATTTTGGCAGCAAAGTAATTTAAAAATGAACAATGAACTGATCCGTTAGGCAAGTAAATGTTGAAAATGGCCACCATGACTCTCCATGCAATAATAAAGATTTTGCTCAAAATATTGCCGCACATTTTGCAATATTTGAGGAGTAATTTGAAGGCACTCATTCACAATTCCTTGTCGCAGGTCTGCTAATGATGTTGGCTGAGTTGCACAGATTTTGCTTTTTAAATGACCCCACATAAAGAAATCCAAAGTTGATAAATCTGGCGATCTTGGGGGCCATTCAATGGTACCTCTTCTACCAATCCATCGATCTGGAAACGTCTGATGTAAAAATTGTCGAACACGTAATGCGTAATGTGGTGGGGCACCATCCTGCTGGAACATCAACCTATTCGCAATGTACCGCCGATCATTCTGGTTTTCAATTATGGCTGTTAATGCAGGATCTATGGCGTCTTCCAGTAATTCCAAAAACATTTCACCGGTCAAATTTCCAGCTAAGAAAAAAGGACCAACTAAATGATCGCCAAAAATACCAGCTCAAACATTTAATTTTTGTGGCTGCTGTGTAAGATAACCTCATGATAAATTCTGGGATTAGAATCGGACCAATATCGGCAGTTATGACAATTTAGTACGCCATTTAAGAAAAAGGAACATTCGTCGGAAAAGCAAGTGTTGAATAGAAAATGTCCATCGTTTATAATTCGTTCACTCATATCTTCACAAAATTGTAATCGCAGATCAAAATCGTCTTCATTAAGTTCTTGTACCAGGTGAATTTTATACGGATGAAAACTATGGGCCTTTAGAATCCGTTGGACAGTACGTCGACTAACACCACACACAGTCTCCAATTTACGGGTACTTAACGTAGAATCTTCATAAACTTGCCCTAAAACCCTCACTTCTATTGCTTCGTTCCTTATGGGATTTTCAATGTTGCGTTTTTTATTGGCGACTGACCCAGTTTCCCGAAATTTAGCTACAAGTTCTAGAACATATTTTCGATGCACGTTACTGTTCTCATGTCGCTCATTAAATATTTCTGCTGTTCTATTTCGATAATTTCAACTCTTTCTGCTGTGGAATATACCAGGGCTAATTTATGTAATAAAGCGTTACAAGTTATTTTAGCAAAAAAGTTCGATCAAATCAATCGCAAACTTTGTACTAAATTCCTGTTTCTTCAAGAAATAACTTTTTTGACACAAAAAAAAACGCTCCAATAGCTATATTCAACTACCAAATGATAAACAAACCATGGGCGTAGTGAAGAAAAGCATTTACTTATTAAATAAACTCTTTTAGTCCAATTTCTTCTGAAAGTAGTACAAACTAATCTGATGTACCTATTAAAGTCTACTTTAAGATTTAAATCAATAAATCTTCAAAACTACTGAACTGAAGCTCATGTATTTTACATCATTATAAAGGGAATTGAAAGACCTTTAAAATAAGGTATCACTCGACCCCCCTTTTCATTTAAGATTTAAGCGTTGGTGTCACCCCCGCCCAGGGAGCTGCATGTGTTAACGTGATTTTTTGCCAAACTTGCCAAAATCGACGGGTCTGAGCGTTTTTCCAAAAAAAAAAAACTGGGCTGCCAGTAAATGCATATATATATTTATATAACAAAAAATAGGAAAATATATATATATATATATATATATATATAATTATATAACTACACTTTGTTGAAACCCAAACACCTGAGTAGAATTAGTACTGTGACTCTGTTGAGGAAGGCTTGTTGATACGAATCTTGACTGGTTAAGATTTGTCGGAAAAATTAACTCATTCTCTTAGTATCATGCTAAGTATAAAGAATCATACTTTACGAACACTAACACCCAGGCTTCGCATTTGCCAAGTACAGTAAACATTGTTCGTTATATTCACAAGTGTGCAGATAGTTCCAGTTATGTGTATTCCCGATAGAGAATTTATTTCGCCTAGTTGTAAATAAACTTATCTCCGAGATCGAATAACCCTGCACGACGCTGTTAAATTGGTAGCCGGTAGCGAAATATAAATTAGTCCGTCGCTGTCGGGGTTTTCATAAAGGCACAACAGGCAATAACAGTAAATTCGCGCAGATGATAATTTTCCCAACGTGCCTGAGCAATGCGCCATCCGTTGGCTAGACAGATACGTTTAGAATTAGTTGACCATTGCGTGCTTATCCAGTTGGATCGGGGTGAATATACTGAGCTTTTCGAATTCATGGCTCAGCCAATCAAAATCGCGTTGTATATTGATTTCGTTCTTACCACGGAAAAGTTACAATGAGCACGTTGCCAATATAAAATGGTTTGGCGGTGCAGCGCTTTTATTTATTTATTTATTTATTTATTGAAATCCACCACCAACAGTGTTAACCAATTACTGGTGGCAAAACAACAATAGAAATAGTAAAAAAAACATATAAAAATACAACGAAAACTAAAAACTAAATCATTTCACTGCAAACTCTCTTAATATTCGAAATACTTGTGTTGAACAAATCAAATGTACTCTGTAGACTATTATAACATGAACACATCGAGTACAAAGGTGAGTGCAACAGTAAGTTAGTTCGTGGGGTAGGTAGGTAAAAAGTGAGTATATTGCGAGTAACAAATTTTGGAGCATCAAATTTAATCTGTGCTAGAAATGATGGACAATCATAACTGCTATGCACTACTATATGCAGGAATATTAGCGAGTGAGTCTTTCTTCTGTTATCAAGACTGATAAACTTGTACTTACGTAACAGGTCTTCCTGTGGGACCCCAATGGGTGGGTACGTACCGTCAATTTTGAATGAAAGACATTTCAGAAATTTCCGCTGAATCTTCTCCAGAGAGCCACAAGTTGTAACATAGCATGGATTCCATATTAGCCGTCCATATTCTAATTTAGACAGTATGAATGAAT